AAAAATAAACAGGATTGACAAACCCCTGGCAAATCTGACTAAAATGAGAAGAGAAAAAAGCCAAATCAGTAAAATCAGAAATGCAAAAGGGAAAATAACAACAAAAACCACAGAAATCCAGGGATTCATCAAAGACTACTTTGAGAACCTATTTTTGAATATATTTGAAAATCTTGAAGATTGGACAAATTTCTAGATACTTAGGACCATCCAAAACTGAACCAAGAGGATATTAACCACCTAAATAGATCTATACCACAAAATGAAATTGAAGCAGCAATAAAGAGTCTCCCAAAAAATAAAAGTCCAGGACCTGATGGATTTTCTGCTGAATTCTATCAGACTTTTAAAGAACTAATACCAACTCTCCTTAAACTTTTCCACAAAATAGAAAGGGAAGGAACACTACCTAACTCATTCTTTGAAGCCAGTATTACACTCATCCCAAAACCAGACAAAGACACCTCCAAAAAGGAGAACTATAAGCCAATCTCCTTAATGAACATCAATGCAAAAGTCCTCAATAAAATAATGGCAAACCAAATCCAACAACACATCAAAAAGATCATTCACTGGATTAAGAAAATGTGGTATCTATACACAATGGAATTTCATGCAGCCATGAAGAAAACGAAATGTTATCATTCACTGGTAAATGGATGGAATTGGAGAACATCATTCTGAGTGAGGTTAGCCTGGCCCAAAAGACCAAAAATCTTATGTTCTCCCTCATATGTGGACATTAGATCAAGGGCAAACACAACAAGGGGATTGGACTATGAGCCATGATAAAAGCGAGAGCACACAAGGGAGGGGTGAGGATAGGTAAGACACCTAAAAAACTAGCTAGCATTTGTTGCCCTTAACACAGACAAACTAAAGCAGATACCTTAAAAGCAACTGAGGCCAATAGGAAAAGGGGAGCGGGTACTAGAGAAAAGGTTAGACCAAAAAGAATTAACCTAGAAGGTAACACCCACGCACAGGAAATCAATGTGAGTCAATGCCCTGTATAGCTATCCTTATCTCAACCAGCAAAAACCCTTGTCCCTTCCTGTTATTGCTTATACTCTCTCTACAACAAAATTAGAAATAAGGGCAAAATAGTTTCTGCTGGGTATTGAGGTGGGGGAGAGGGAGGGGGCGGAGTGGGTGGTAAGGGAGGGGGTGGGGCAGGGGGGAGAAATGAACCAAGCCTTGTATGCACATATGAATAATAAAAGAAAAAGGAAAAAAAATAAAAATAAAAATAAACAAAAAAAGAAAAAAAGATCATTCACCATGATCAAGTCAGCTTCATCCCAAGGATGCAGGGGTGGTTCAACATATGCAAATCAATAAATGTAATATAGCACATTAATAGAAGCAAAGACAAAAACCACTTGATCATCTCAATAGATGCAGAAAAAGCCTTCAACAAGATCCAACACCACTGCATGATAAAAGCTCTAAGAAAACAAGCAATAGAAGGAATGTACCTCAACATTCTAAAAGCTATATAGGACAAACCTACAGCCAATATCATACTTAACAGTGAAAAACTGAAACCATTTCCCCTAAAATCAGGAACGAGACAAGGATGCCCACTCTCCCCACTCCTATTCAACATAGAACTGGAATTTCTAGCCAGAGCAATTAGGCAAGAAGAAGAAATAAAAGGAATACAAATAGGTAAAGAAACTGTGAAAGTATCCCTATTTGCAGATGACATAACCTTATATCTCAAAGACCCAAAAAACTCTTAGACACCATGAAGAGCTACAGCAAAGTGGCAGGATACAAAATCAACTTACAAAAATCATTAGCTTTTCTATACACCAACAATGAACAAATTGAGAAAGAATATATGAAAACAATTTCATTTACAATAGCCTCAAAAAAAATCAATACCTAGGAGCAAACTTAACAAAGGATGTGAATGACCTCTACAATGAAAACTACAAATCTCTGAAGAGACTGAAGAAGACTCTAGAAGGTGGAAAAATCTCCCATGTTCATGGATCGGTAGAATCAACATAGTAAAAAATGGCTATGCTATCAAAAGCAATCTACAAGTTTAATGTAATTCCCATGAAAATCCCAATGACATTCATCACAGAGATTGAAAAATCTACCCTAAAGTTCATTTGGAAACACAAGAGACAGTGAGTAGCCAAGGCAATACTCAGCAAAAAGAGCAATGCTGGAGGTATCACAATACCTGATTTCAAACTATATTACAAAGCAATAGCAATAAAAACAGCATGGTACTGGCATAAAAACAGATATGAAGACCAGTAGAACAGAATAGAGGACCTGGATATGAATCCACACAGCTATGCCCACCTTATTTTTGACAAAGGTGCCAAAAACATAAGATGGAGAGTAGACAGCCTCTTCAACAAATGTTGCCGGGAAGAGTGGATATCTGCCTGCAGAAAACTGAAACTAGATCCATGTCTATCATCCTGTACTAATATCAACTCAAAGTGGATTAAGGACCTTAATATCAGTCCAGAAACTTTGAAGTTTGTACAGGAAAAAGCAGAGAATACTCTGGAAGCAATAGGTGTAGGCAAGGAATTCCTCAGTAGAACTCCAGCAGCCCAGCAACTAAGAGAAAGGTTGGACAAATGGGACTACATGAAATTAAAATCTTCTGCACAACAAAAGAAATGGTCTTTAAACTGGAGAGACCACCCACGGACTGGGAGAAAATATTTGTTGTCTGTACATCAGACAAAGTTCTGATAACCAGAATATACAGAGAGCTCAAAAAACTAAACTCTCCTAAAATCAATGAACCAATAAAGAAGTGGACAACTGAACCAAACAGAATTTTTTCAAAGGAAGAAATCCAAATGAACAAAAAACACATGAAAAAATGCTCACCATCCCTGGCCATAAAGGAAATGCAAATCAAAGCCACACTAAGATTCCACCTCACTCCTGTTAGAATAGTTATCATCAAAAACACCACCAACAGCAAATGCTGGCGAGGATGCAGGGAAAAAGGAATCTTCATACACCGCTGGTGGGAATGAAAGCTAGTACATGCACTTTGGGAAACAACATGGAAGCTTCTTAAAAAACTAAACATAGATCTGCCATATGATCCAGCAATCCCACTCCTAGGGATATACCCAAAGGAATGCAACTTGGGTTACTCCATAGACACCTGCACACCCATGTTTATTGCAGCGCTATTCACAATAGCCAAGTTATAGAAATAGCCAAGATGCATCACTACCAACAAATGGATTAAGAAAATGTGGTATTTATACACAATGGAATTTTACTCAGCCACAAAGAAGAATGAAATTTTGTCATTCACAAGTCAGTGGATAGAACTGGAGAACATTATCTTAAGTGAAGTTAGCCAGGTTCAGAAGACCAAAAATCAAATGTTCTCCCTCATATGCAGACTTTAGACCTAAAACAAATGCAGTAATATTGTTGGACATGGGTCAAACACTAAGGGGAGAACACATACAGGAGGAATAGGGAAAGGAAGGAAACCTAAAACTTGAAAGTGTTTGATATGCCCACTGTAGAGGAGTGAATAAAGTAATCTTAAGCTGACAGAGGTCACTATAGGAAGGTGACCAGGGAAGTAGTGAAGAGGTCTGGTAGAGATGAATCAATTCAGGTTGTAATACACATGTGCATGGAAGCAATGCTAGGAATCTCTCTGTATAGCTATTCTTATCTCAACTAGCAAAAACGCTTTGTCTTTCTTATTATTGCTTATGTCTTCTCTTCAACAAAATTGGAGAAGAGGGTGGAACAGGTTCTGCCTAGAAGCAAGGGTGTAGGAGGGAGAGATGGCCCAAACAATGTATACACATATGAATAAATGAATAAACAATAAAAAAAGAATACAACCAGCACTCTGAGCATGAAAAGAACATACACCCTTAATCATTCCTAATGTGAATGGTTTTCCAGGCTCAACATAGAGTAGTGGTTAGAAGCGCAAGATGTGAATCCACACTGCTGGGTTTCCAGCCTCCCAGTAGGACCAACCCTTAACTCATTTACACAACTGTATTAACTTTTCCTCCTCCATTAAATAAGGACAATAATGTCCCTATCTCATGGGGCTGTGAGGAAGTTGAGATTAATATTAATTAGTAAATAATAAAAAGCTTATAGAGTACACTATTGTATTATACAATATGGCATGTTCAAAATATGAATGTCTGATTGCAGTCTGGCACTATATTATATCAGACTCTTCTAACCTGAGGAAATTTTTCATTTATAACCATTTAGATATTCTTTTATTGTTGTAACTAGTCATTTATCTTTCTTACTTATGTCCATCCAAGTCCTAATTTTCTTGTTCATCTATTAAAGGAATTTTAATTCTATTTTTGCAATGCATTAAAACATATACTAATCATAATCATCACAAATAGGGTATATTGGTAATATAAGAACTAAATCACTGAAGCCTATTCACATAATGGCATGAAGGCTTAATTCCAGAAAAGGACACCAATGAAATGGAAGATTTATCACTGCTATTATCACTACCATTGTTTCTGATATAATTATTTTAGTTTTGCTAGTTTGGTGTATGCTGGGAGCTAAGCACTCCATACGTGACTCTATTTCAGCACCAAGGCACTTAAACAGCACCATTGTGAGCCTCTAACCACTGTGTGGCTCTTAGTTAAATTTATGCTTCATGTCTGGCACTTCTCACAGAGGGTCCTTTCAGTCAAAACCAGACAAATTATAGAAAAACAGAAAGCGTGGTAATAAGAACATGTCCTGGATCAATGCATAATAGTCTCAAAGATTTTTTTTCCTGGAATAGAAAATAAATTACATACTGAAAATATGAAGAGCAGTATTCAGGAACTAACGCTGGACAGATGAATAAATTCCTTCATCTTTAAATAAAATCATGATCCAGGAAGTGCTAAGCATGAGAAAATTCTCTAGCAGAGCATAGCTGTCCATTTTAAAAACACATTTGAAGATTATTAGATAAAATATTTTTGATAGATTACCTGGTTGGAATCCTGAAGTCTACGTTATTTCCCAATTTGTAAGCCACTTGTAATGCAGTTGATCCCACCACTCTCTGGATAGTTCTTCTAGATGCTGCTTTATCTACCTGGAACTGAGAGATCAGGTCAAACCCTACAGAAAGGGAAAACAAAATGAAAAGTTGAAAATGAGATTGACTTTATTCCTTTCTACAGCTTTCTCATTTGGGGGACAACTTGTTTCAAATATGATACATTGCTACTTGCCTGGCAAGTCATCTTGGCCAATCCTGATCTTGGGACAGAGTTCATTTCCATCATTAGAGTTTGAATTGATAGGGAATCCTGCAAAAATGATAGCATGTCATCCAACTTTGTTCACTACAAAGATGGCAGATATACCACTAATAATACTAATAACTGAGCTACTGTTTAAAGTACAATGTTATACAAGCTTGCCTACATAGTAGTGTTTTTAGCTTTACTCTATGCCTCAATGTTCATAATTCATCCATCTTCAACTCATTCTGGAAGGTATGAAAGGCACAAAGTTGCTTTAATGATTTGTGCTAAGAAAAATGTTCCTTTTGAGGGTAGGAACTTGTTCCTTTGGAACCAAAGCTGCCCAGTGTCCTGAATGGCACAAAGTCACAAACCTATTTGGAAATTTCTGGTGGTTTGGGCTAGAAAATATTCCTTGAACATCACCAATTTTAGAATGTCAGTAAGAATCCAGAGCCAGCCTTGACCCAGCTCAATGGGGCTTCTGGAAAGTGAAGTTCTTACACATCTTTGTCAAATAGAGGAGTCTGGTAGTTTTAGTACTTACTAACTCTAAATAAAATACACAGGATGCATTTAATTTGATAAATTCATTCTAAGGGATCAAATAAATGTCTCAACTGGATTATTGCTAGTATCCTAGAGTTGGGAAGAATAAAAAGCAGAAACTAACCATGAGAAGAATTAAACTCTCAATTTGACAGAAAATCCTGAATTGAATTGGGTGCCCCTTACAGAAATGAAGGCTTGTAGTGAGGGAGTTTTTGTGCCACCAAAGAAGAGTTCTTGTAACTATCCAACTCCAGAGACTTGATAAGACTCAGTTGATGACAGAGACTTCCCAGACTTCAGAAGAAGCACTTTCCAGTTATAGAGCTTTGGCCTCTCCATCAGAGTACAAAAACATTTTCTTCATATCTTCCCTGACCTTGATTATTGAGGCCAATCCATCCATCTACCCATCTACTCATCCATGAATCCTCCCGATATTTACCAATCACCATCTGAACCAGGTACTGTACTAGGCACTAGAGTACTGCCGACTATAATCACAGTCAGGACTTCCCTTTCAGATTCAGCATTAAGCAAGAAAACCAACCACAGAGTAGCTCCATGGCCCAAAGCAGGATCAAAGAGGGAAGATGTGAAAGAGCATGGAGCTACATTCAGTCTTCACTCTGCCACACCCATGCCTTATCACACCCCTGGCTGTTTTTGGTGACAAGTGATAGTTCCAAAGTCCAGAAACTCTGGCCCTTACTTGGACGGCGCTTGACAGTCGCAGATGCCCAGGGTCCCAGGAAACTGCACACAAAGAAGAAAACTGAAATTTTCCTGAAGAGGAGAAAAGAGAATGATTCAAATAGGAATCCCTCCAGATGGGAACTACTTTCATATTTTTAAACTTGGTAAATTCAATTAATATAATTGATTTAACCCCAAGACAGATTTTTTTTCATTTATACTTTGAAATCTTACTTAGTGATTTAATGAATCAGAACTCTTCTGGCTCCCATGGACCCTGTCATGTTATCAATCTTTCTTTCTCACTATCTCACTTTCTCATGTTTCTGCCCTATTTCCCTGTCTCTGTTTTCTTTTATGATTTTCTGTCTCTACCTCACATGCTTTCTCTCTTTCCTTACTCTTTCATCCATCTTTATCTCTGCCTCTCTCTTTCTCTCATCTCCTCTCATTTCACCACCACCACAAAAACAGACCCTTGGTTCTGAGGGGTCCTAGCCTAGTCTCCCCCAGCTTTCCAGAATCACAGTCTTACCAGTAGTTCTTCATTTTCCCAATAGGTTTTCTTGGGTATCCAACAGTCCCTATGAAGAAGGGGTTGGAAGGGAGTCACTGCTCCCCTAAAACCCCCGTGTTGTTTCTCTGGGACTGTAAGTTCTGGCCCCAACCTTGGTTCCTCTTGCCCCTGTAGGGGCTAAAAGCAAAGGGAGAGAACCAGAGGTATGTGGTCACACTTTAAATGGAAGCAGAGAAAGGGGTGGGAGAGACAGCTGGGTAAGCTCAGGCCTAGCCAGGGGTGTGTCCTCAAAGCTAACAAGGTTACACTGAAGGAGGGATTAACAGAGGGAAATGTTTGCTGAAAAGAAAAAAAAACATCAGGATGTGGAGAAATTCACCAGAAAGACCCAGGCAAGCCACTATAGGAACACAGTAGAAGCTTTCAGAACTGCTATAGGAACACAGTGAAAGCTTTCAGAACTGCTATAGGAATACAGTGGAAGCTTTTAGAGGACTGGGGATCTAGTAAAGAACTGCCTATTGGAAGGCAGAGGTGGAAGAACTCCCAGGAGCCTTGCTGCCTAGTTCACCTTGGTTTGAAGCCCCCATTTGTTCTGAAGCTTACTAGTTGTATGATCTTGGGCAAGTTAGTTAACCCCTCTGTTATTCAACTGCCTTAGCTATAAAACAGGATGTAAATATTTACATAAAAAGTTTTATTAATTAAATGATTAGAAAAGGCTTAAGGTCTAACACCAAACTCATCATTTGTCGTCCTTAATTGTCCTGATGTCTGACACTTCCTAATGTGCTTCTCTCTGTTGCTTGAAGCCTAAAGACATTTCAGTTCTCACAACCACTGCAAGGTAAGACTAAAATTATCCTCACTGGCCAGATGAGAAAACCGAGGCACAGGTATGGGGTAACCAAGGCACAGATACGAGGTAACCGAGGCACAGTATGAGGTAACTTGCACAAAGCTCTACAGCTATTACTCAATGCATATAGGCTCTCTCTAATCCACAAGTGGCAATTTTGATAAAATGTGACATAAAGCCCCCTATTTGTTTCCTCTAATCTCTAAGATTATTAGTCAAGCAGAGTATTAATGGAAGTCAATATTATCCCCCATAAAAAAGTTGAGAGCAAATTATTAGGAATGCAGACCCAGAGAGAGATGTTTTACTCACAGCCCTGTCACACATGCCCAATCCCTCCCCTAAAGCCAAGTATCTCACGAAAAGGCCCACCAGGCCTGTCCTCACCCATGCAGGATGACCTATTTTTGGCCCTATCTTGCTTGGGTGACATGGATGTCAAGTCTGAAAACAGGGACTCTTGTGATCAGAAGATCCAATGATCTTAATAAGTCATGGTATTTAGTACAAAGTATTTTTTGAAGTGGTTTTGCTTCTGTGAATTTGCTTTAGTTTAGTTTTTCTTCCACTGATTCAATTTTTATTTAACTATTAAAAAAACAGATAACACTACTGCTTCCTTTTCATTTCTTTGGTTTTCATTAAAAGTTCTTTCATTGTCTGCCTCTCTCACTTGCTGGAGAGTTCCCTCAGTGAATTGAGAACAGGCAAACTGCAATGTCCATGCTCTTCCCCATTCCTTGTCTACTCCAGGCCCACAGGTTGGAGTCTTGCCTCCCTCTCACAGAGGAACATCCTTGTCTTCATGCTTAGGATGTGCCACAGGCTCTATCGTTCTCCTTTATCAAAATTCTCATTTCCTAAGGCTGACGTCTTGGCTCAGGATAGAAATATGAATGGTCAGAGCCCTGCTTATTTATTTAAACCAGTCAGGGGTAATTGAATGAAGCAATCTATTAACCTGAACCTGGATCCACAGGTAGAAAGGCATGTTCCAATAGGGCTTCCATTGAAGTTCTTGATTTGCAATATGGACCATCTCTTTTACTTACTCCAGTAAGAAAAAAGAGAGACAGCTTTTCCTATACTATTAATTATTTGAGAACTTCTTTTAAGTGTTTCAGAGATCTCACCTCTGCACTTGCTCCTCCTCAACCCACTTTAAAGAACTCTCTACAACTAAAATCTGAAAGCAGGTAAGAGAACCTTTTCATAAAAGATTGAAGAGGTGAAAATAGGTTGACTCATAAGTGATCTGTCTTCTTTCGAGATTGGCAGTTTTATTTAAGATGACAAAGAACAAGCAACAATTTCTATTAAGAAAAAATGTAAATCCAGAGGACTTGAAGATGTATACCATCTATGGATTCTTTTGTCTTCTCCCTCCATCCCATTTGTTATTAATTATATTTCCTGACATGACATCACAAAAAAGCAGAGCAAATGACACATTATTCTGCTCTGCTCTGCTTTGACTTCTTCGTACCTTGAAGTCAAAGGCTTGAAAACTTTTTCACCATTAACACCGCTCCCTTACTTCACCTAGGAGTTCCCTCTGAAAACCCATGTGGAAAGGATATCTGAGCAATGATAGCATATTGTAAATGCACTACTATGACTGTGCATTTAAAAGAATCCATTTTATAAATAGAAATGTTCCATACAGAATATTTATATATTTGCCCCTCAGCTTCTGTACACATCTGTTCTACAGAATATACAAAAAGCTTGTGAACTTATAGTTTAAATCAGTAAGCATCATCACCAACAACCATCTTTCTTGATCATCTACTTTCTTTCACTTGTTTACTGACTCATTCAATAAACAACAAATATGGAACATGTGTCAGGTATATGCTAGGAGTTGAGGAGACAAGAAGTGTGACTAATCAACCACAGCCTTGTCCTGAGGAAGCTCACAATCTCCTTGGGAATGAAAGATGATAGCAACACAGAAAATAAAAAGGACAACCACTGAGAACAACTGTGAACTCTATCTGTAGCCATCAGGAAATTTTTCGTACAGGAGACAAAATCTTAAGGGATGAATGGAAGCCTAGCAAGAGAATAAGTGGGTATAGTGTATCTTAGGCAGAGAAAGCAGCAGAACAAAAGGGTGGAAGGGAACAATTGAAGAATAACTAGTTTAGTTCAGGAACGCTTTCATTTGGTAAATATTTAGGGGTGCCTCTTCTACCATGAACTCTGAACTTATCTCAGCACTAGGAATATAACAGAGAAAGACCAGATCTCTGTCCCATGGGGTTTACATACTGGTGTAATGCCAGACACATTTACAAGATGACTTTAGTTGAAACTCTGGTGAAAAACATAAAACATGGTGATGCACGCTAGAGCGTTAGAGATCGAGATTGAAGGCTGGCTACTCTGACATGGTGAATTTTAACTCAGATGGATGAGAATGAAGAGGTAAGACTGCCAGGGTAGATTGGAAAGAGGTGGGAAGCAAAGACAACTACTTGGTTTTGAGCTTGAGCAACTAAGAAGTGATGTCACTTTGAAATTCCAAGCAGGAGGAGATGGGTAAGAGATCTTGAATGACAATGAAAGTTTTGAACTTATTCTGTTTCAGGAACTGGGAGAAGAATTTGAAGTCAAGAATGACTTTTATATGTGTATTTAGAAAGATGGTTCTGAAGTTGCTTGAAGGATGGATTGAATTTGGTGTGATCAATCAGTACCCACACACACAAGTTACAGAAAATAATGTATCCTATGCAAGTGTAATGCCTTTTCTGTTTTATTCTAGCTCATTTTTAATAAGGATAGCCAACTCAAAAAATTTATTTTAGAACCAGGTAATAGATTGTAACCCTTCATTTGACAAACCTCAGATTAGAACACAATAGGAACAAAATGCCAAAAGATATTTTTTCCTCTTGTTTTTTGATATAAGGCACAAAAGTTGAGACACCCCATAAAACTCATAGTAGGACAAGTTCCTTAATTTTAACATGCATATATTTTTAAAAATAAACTTTAAAATATTCTTTAAAGTAACTGTAAACTGGTAACATTAAAGATGCCATGAACCCCATTTTAATTGTCGTATAGATTAAAATAAAGGAGAGAAGCTTTTAAAAATTAGCTTCTTGATAGCATCTAGCTTTAAGCTTTATTCCATCTGAATTTACTTTAAAAGTCAAAGACCCAAAATACCTAGTGGTACATATCAGTTGTGTGAGGATGCTACAAATTAGCCATAGCAAGAGCCCAAAATTTATCACAGAAATCTCTGGCTGAGAGGTTAACAATCAGAGTTGCTAAAACCAAGACTCCCACAGTCTTGCATTGGGTTCAGTTTTACTGTAAAGAAATTTTACCATAATTAAAGCTCTATTTTTAATCAGCTTATTTTGGTTCTATACTTATAATTGTAGCCTAATCATCCATAGCAAGCAAATAGAGCCCCATGGTGATAGCCATTCCTCTCACAAATAAATGTGCTCTCACCATAGATAATAACACAAAAACATATTAACATAAACCTTCCCCATCCCCAAGCCTTTCAGCATATTACTTTTGCTTCCTCTAAAATAAGAGCAGCTCCATTTCCCCAAGGAAGAGAAAAATCAATTCTTCTCCATGGCACACATGCTTCCAGGAGCTTTTGCTACATTTGCAGCCTTATGGATCTTCAAGTTTCTAGCAGCACGACTTGTGTCCTAAGCCTCTTTTGCTCCTTCCATTAAACCTGGCATACTGGTCCGTCTGCATGTTTCTCTGCATACTATAAAGCCTTCTTTTCTGACACTGGAACCCAAAGCTACATTAGAATCACCTAGGTGGCTACTTAAAAACAGATAACTGGGCCCTACCCTGGGTGTTTGTGGTTAAGAAGACTTAGGGTGAGGACTAGCATTTGCATTTCTAACAGCTCCCAGATAGTGCTGATGCTGCTGGTCCACCTAGAACTTCTGCTCCTACAGTCAGGGTAAGCTAAGTCTTCTTTGTTAAAACTGGTACTGACTTGTAAGATGCAAGGGTATGATAAGTATTTGCTAAATAAAATTTTAAAGTAACTATCAATTTAGCTCATATAGTCTCTTGAGAACTTTTGGGCTCATAAAAAATGCAATAATTTCCTCACCAGACATGTATCCAGGAAATTTACTTGGCAGAATAGGATATAGAAAACAAAACCTCTTCTGTGCTATTATCGTTTAT